ACATCTCCAAAGGTCTCATGATGAAATTTGCCATCCACATCCAAAGAAAGAACTATGGAGTTTGAATGCAGATTGAAGCATACTATTTGCTAATTTTTTCCTTCTGTTTTGTTTCCTCTTTCTTGTGGTTCCTCCTATTGGTTCTAATTCTTCCTTACAACATGACTAATGTGAAAATATGTTTCATAGGAAGGTATACATAGAGCTTATATCAGATTGCATGCCATCTTGGGGAGGGAAGGGGAGAAAAATTTAAAACCAAAAAGCTTATGGAAGTGATTGTTGGTAAATCAAAATAAATTAATAAAAAAAAATTTTTTTAAGTACTCACCAAAATGCTGTTCTCTTCCATGCTTGTATTTCTTTCTTTAAATACAGTGCGTACTCTATTGTGTAATACTCTACTCCTTTTGAATAAGAAATAACCTTTCAGAACTAATAGGATAGTGACTTTGAAGTTTGAAAAATTCTACCAATTTAAAAACCCTCAAGTTCTCCCCGCCCTCCCCCCATTCTCTTTTTCCTTTTTGTTCCTGAATCAGCTAAACACAATAAATTTCATGGCTCTTTAGTGTGAATGAAGATGATGTTGAGAAAGGAGATAGATAGCTCTTTTAAAGTGAACTGCTTATATAAAGTGTTTACTGTACAGGTGAAGAAAAGGGACTCTTTGGGTACCAGGCCTAACCCAAACTGATCTGGAATTGACAGAACGAGGTTATTTGGGTATTGTTTATTATTAAGATCATGATGGTGGTCAGGAAAATTTTGTGCGGAGTGTTCTTGTGTTGTAGGATAAAAAAAACTTTTTTGTTTCTAAAGGAATTAATTCTAGGCATTAACAAGGTCACAGGGAGATTTTTTTTTTTTGGTGGGCAAAACAGGATAACCTAGAACCCATTCTGCCTTGGCACAGATTTTATTTTGCCTGCCCTTTTCCCTACAAATCTCCTCCTCCCTACTTCCTCTAATGGTTTCTCTATTTGCACCAGAACTCCCAGATAATTTATGCTTTTAGGATATATTTGATTTTTAAAAAATTATCTTGATACCCTCTTCCCTATTAATCTGGGATCCTAGAGAATGAGTCCAAAAATCACAAAAGATACCCTCCATTTGTTACATTGTACTCACAGCCACTCATTGACTCAAATCTCTTGACACCAAAAAGGATGGGGTGAGAGGAGGAAGCCTTAATACCTCCATCAAACTTGACAACAACAACATAAAAATGAAAAAGTTATCCCCAAATTTGATTTACTGCATCACCAGTTATTTAATGAAACTAGAGATGATTAAGTAGCCATGGTGTTCTTAAGGAATAATTTAGAGTAATAGCAAGGGAGATGTATTGTAAATGATAGTAAAACATAGAATGATAGAATTTTGTGGCTGAAAGGAATCTCAGAGATGAAGTACAGTCTACCATTTTGCCAATGAAGACATTGCCTTGGGTGATGAAAATATTTGAACTTATTGAAGTAGCTTGAGTGAATAGAATTTTAATTTAACCAAACCTCCATAACTTGTGATGACACCAGTCATTGATCAGGTAGCATAAGGGAAAACTTTATTTCAGTCTAAAGAAAGCTACACTAAGCTTTTTCTCTACATTATATATTATATATTTTTCTCCACATTAATACATTTCTTGGGAAATCAGTAAAAGCAAGCTAACAATTTTATTCTAGCAGTGATGTGGTAGAAAGGCTCAAAGACTAAATTGGATAGACCCTTTCCTCTGGTCTTGCAAATTGACTTTTTTTGGTCTTCTTTTCCCACTAGTATACCTTTTAAAATTTCCCTTCACTTTCTAATATTTCTCTGACATTTCTCAGAATGGGTGAGAGAATTATAAAAACTAAGTTATAAAAAGTCAGTAGAACATTTGTATCAAATATAATTTAGTACCTCATGCCATGATATATTATAAAAGTTATTCCCATTCAAAAAGGTAAGAGGTTTTCTTTTAAAGAATAGGGTTGGGTCTTTGTGACCTTTGAAGTCTCTATAACTCCTTTTAATTAGTACTAAAGGCAAAATGTAGGATATAGTTGAAGCTATCATTTTAGTTGCTAATAGTCTTTAGTTTCAAAAAGTGATGAGAACTTTGAGAATAATACTCAGGAAATGGGGTGCTTAATTTATAAACAGTTTTGGTCATTCATTTCTGTCATTCTTTCTCAGCTTCTTAATTCTGTTGTTGAACAATACCTAAGACTCTCCATAAACTCATCCCTTTTTTTTTTATTCAGCCTCTACAACTCAGGAGAACAGGTGTATTACCTTCTGTCTTTGTCTTTAGTTGGGAACAAACTGGACACTTCTCAGTTGTTTAACATTCTATCCCTTAATTTCCTTATCTCCCATTTAATAAGAATATTCTTCCAGTTACCTGTTGCCAATAACCAATATAGTTTATTAGGGAATACAAATAACAGAAGATTTTATTTACTCTTTTTTCATTTAAAACAAGTAAAGAAGGATTTTAAGGGAGAAAAAAAATGTAACTACTAGACATCAGTTGGAATATTCACCAGCTACTTGAATCTCTAATTTTCCTATGATTGTCTCCATTGTGATGTCAGATTTTTGTTTCCTGAAAGAAAGTTAAATAAAAGTAAATAAACATGTGTACAACTCAGGTTGACTTGGCGGCATCAAACGGCTTTCAGTAATATAAACTATAGTCCCTACCTTGAAAATGTAAAGGTTAGAAATGCACTTAGGCTAAGATGTGAGATTGGGTATAGGAGTGTCTATTGGATACTTTTTACAAGTGACTGACATGAACCTTTTAGATGTAACAAACAAATTTGAAGCAGATTGTTTTATTTATTAACATTTCACAAGTATTTGAATGTCTGTTTTGTACAGAGCATTATATACGTCAATGAACTTGAGTTTAGGAAAATACGTTAATTTTGAAATGGCTGTAAAATTGAACTTAGTCACCCAGATCCTCAACTTTATTGTTATCAACAACTGCCATCTCATATAACCAATTGGTGTCCAAATCTTTTGGTTCTGTTTTATAATATCTCTTGTCTACCTTCTCAATTCAGACACGCACTACTTTAGTTCATAATCTTTATCACCTCTTGCCTGGACATTTACAAGAGCCTTCTAATTGTTCTCCCTTCCTCATGTCTTTTCCCACTCCAATCCATTCTCCATACAACTGCTGAAGAGATTCTTTCTAAAGTTCAGGTCTGAACCTGTCAGTTCCTTTACCTAATAAACTCTAGTGGCTCCCTATCACTAATCCAAATCCCTTTGTTTGCATTTAAAGCCCCTTACAATATGGCCTACTATTTCAGCCTTATTATTCACTATTCCTCTTCATATGCTCTATGGTCTAGTCAAAATGATGTTACTGTTTTTTGTACATAGTGCCCAGTCTCTGCTTTCTGTGGCCTTTGTACTGGCTGTCATGTCTGAAATGCGCTCCTTCCTCACCTTTTCTTCTAAGAATCCCTAGTTTCCTTCATGACTCAGATCAGACATCACCTTCTAAATCAATGCATCTCAAATGTATATTTGTTGACATGATGAATTTCAGTAAACTGAATGTTTCAATTGACAGTATTCAAGACTTGTGCATGCAGTATTTTCTTTCTATAAGAGCAGACTTTGTCGAATTCATGTTTTGAGGCTAGTATTTATGTGTAAATAGGCAAATTTTGTTTAGTTTGTGAATTCAATACTAACCATGTTATGTATGGGTAAGTAAAATTTATATTAAATAAAATATTTATAAACTTATATCTGCACTAATGTTTAGCTTCCAAATTTTTAGGGTACTTGTGAAACTCACTGCATACTCTTTGAGAACCACTGTTCTTTTTTTAAAAAATTAATTTATTTATTTAAACTTTTTTTCAGCCTTGATTTTTGTAAGATTTTGAGTTCCAAATTCTTTTCTCCATCCCCCCTCCCCAAGACAGCAAGTGATCTGATATAGGTTATATGTATACAATCATATTAAACACATTTCCACATTAGTCATGTTGTGAAACAAGAATCAGAACAAAAGGGGAATACCACAAGAAAGAAAAAAAAGGCAAAAATAGTATGCTTCAGTCTATATTCAGCCTCCATAGTTGTTTCTCTGGATGTGGATAGCATTTTCCATCATGATCTTTTGGAATTGTCTTTCCATACAATCTGTCTTTGTATTGCTAAGAAGAGCCAAGTCTATCAAAATTGATTATCTCACAATGTTGCTGTCACTGTGTACAATGTTCTCTTGGTTTTGCTCACTTTACTCAGCATCAGTTCATGTAAGTCTTTTCACTTGTTTCTGAAGTCTGCCTACTCATCATTTCTTTCTGATTCTTGGCCACTACAAAAAGAGCTGCTATAAATATTTTTGTACATGTGGGTCCCTTTCCCATTTTTATGATCTCTTTGGGATGTAGACCTAGTAGTACAGAACCACTGGTCTATGCAGTGCTCCCTCCCTTCCCCCTTCACCTTGTATCTGTTATGTATGTATTTTGTATCTACATTGTGTCTCCCTTGGATAGATTACAAGCTCTATGTAGGCAGGGATTCTTTCACATTTGTCTTTGCATCCTCAGGGGTGTAACACACTGTGTGGCTTATAAGAGATACTTAATAATAATTTTTTAAAAAGCTTAATAATAGTGCTTAATAATAAATACTTGTTTGATTAATGTAATGTACAGGTCAATTGGAAGATTTCCATATTTGTAACATATATTTGTTTATTAATTTGTTGTGTGTGGACATATAAGGGAAGGAAGAAGCATTGAAATTCTGGTTTTTGTGGCCAGAAACAGCAAAGTGCTACTAACTTCTATGACTAACTTTCCTTCTACAAATAGTAACATTAAAACATTTACTTGTAACTCAAATTTAATAATTTATTAGCAAGTTTTTTTGGCGTCTCTTATCGTTTAATCCTCAATGTTCACTTGTCTCAGAACCTTTATAATATATATTAAACATCTATATTTATATTTTGTCTTTTACAGACGTTTACATCTCAACAAGAAGGCAACAGACAAACAGCCATATAGCAAACTCCCTGGCATTACACTTCTGAAACCATTGAAAGGTGTGGATCCTAACTTAATCAACAATTTAGAAACATTTTTTGAATTGGATTATCCCAAAGTAAGTATGTTGTTATAGTTTTTTTTTAAATCAGGTTGGGGATGGAACATATTCTTTTTTTCCTCCTTGGAGAACACAAGGAAAGGATATTTTGAGAATCACAAACATAGTGGTATATCTAAGTGGTGCAATAGATAGAGCACCAGGCCTAGAGTCAGGAAGATCTCTCAAGACACTTACTAACTGTGACACTGGGCAAGTAAGTCACTTAACCCTGTTTGCCTCAGTTTTTTCATCTGTAAAATGAGTTGGAGAAGAAATGGCAAACCACTCTAGGATCTTTGCCAAGAAAACCCCACCTGGGGTCATGAAGAATTGGGCATAACCGAAATGACTGAAGAACAAAAATAGCTTATGAATCAATCATTCAATCAACAAGTATTTACAAAATACTCGTTATATGCTGGGTACTATGCTATATGCTAGAGATGCAAATGCAGTGGATGAAATAATCCCTACCCAAAGAAGCTTACATTCAGGCAGGTATGTGTATGTACATACAGAATAAATATAAAGAGAACAAATATCAATAAATTCAGTGTTAAATACAACGTAGTTTAAAAGGAAGTCTAGAAGTTGTAGGGATCAGATAAGCCTTCATATAGAAGATGGTTTCTTAAAGCTGTGTCTTAAAGGAAGAGGGAGCTTCTGTGAGGCTAGAGGTAAGGAGAGATCACATTACAGACATGAGGCTTGGCCAGACCAAATGCATGGAGATAGGAGATGGGAGATGTAGTATTGTGTGAGGAAGGTCAATTTTGCTGCATCACAGACTGTAAGCAGGAGTAATGGGGCTTGAAAGATAGGCTGGGGCAACATTGTGAAAGTCTTGAAAAATTAACAGAACAGTTTATATGTGATCCTAGGAACAATAGTTATTTTGGTTCACTGAATTAGGAGTAATATGTTCATATCTTTGATTAAAGAAAATTAATTTGGTAGCAGTGTGCTGAAGTGGTGAGAAGCTTGAGTTTAGGAGACCATTCTGGAGTCTGTTGCAATAATGTAAATGAGAGTTGATGAGTATCTGAACTAAGATGATAACTGTGTAAATAGAGAGAAAAGGGATTGATACAAAAGATGTTGTGAAATAGAAATGGCAAAATATGGCCCTGATCAACATGTAAGGTGAGGGAGTAATATTTGAAGATAATGCTAAGATAATGAACCTGGAAGACTAGAAGGATAGTGGTACTTTTGACAGAATAAGGAAATTTAGAAGAGAGGTAGATTTGGGGGGGTGAGATAGAGTTCTGTTTTGGACATGTTGAGTTTGAGATTTGCAATAGGAAATTCTTGATGTGAAGAGGAATTGAAAGACTCAGAAAAAGGGAAATTCCAGACATAGGGACAACTGGTTAAACCTATGCATTTGAAAGATTATTTTGGCAGTTTTGTGAAGTATGAATTAGAAATGAGAAAGAGTAGATGCATGGAAACTACTTAGTAGGAGAGGTGGAAGAAAAATACTAGGCTGAATTTGGTTTGTGGCAATGTGAACAGGGAGAAGGGAGCAGAAATGGCAGATTTCATGCTTGAATATGTGTGTTGAAAAGAAAGGAATGGGCAAAGATGCTTCTCTGATTTTGATCCTGGGTAACTGGGAGGATGGTATTGCTATCAATAGAAATAGGAAAGTTGGTAGAAGTTGATTTAGGGAGGGTTATAATGAGTCCTGTTTTGAACATGTTGAAAAAGAGGTGAATTCCAGGAATGGGTTGGCCTATGTGATTACACAGAGATGAGAGATGGCATTTTGAGTTTAAGGAACAATTGGTAGACCAGTTTGGCTGAAACAGAGTTTATTAAGGGAAATGATGTTAAATAAGTCTGGAAAGTTAAGTTGGAGCCAAATTGTAGAGGGTCTTTTAATACCAGGTAGGGGAAAGGGTCTATATTTTTTCTAGCATTCTAGAGATACAGAAAGTTTTGAACAGTGGAGTGATTGATTCATAAGTCCAGTGCCTTGGGAATATTACTTTGTCAGCTATGTGAAGGAAGAATTAGAGAAAGATGGAAGCCTAGAGAAAGAATAAAATGCCAATCAGGAGACTTTTGAGCTAGTACAGAAGAGTGGTGAAAAGAAAATCTTTTGAATTCCTTTCTTTGAATTAATTTAGAATTTTTATTTATATGTTTTGGCAGTGTATTGAATTTTTTTTAAAAAACAAGGACCAACATATTTAGCTTTTCTCATTAAGTTAAGGTGATTGAGGCAGTCATTTAAGTTGATAGATGAAATCTTCACCAAGAGGATGAACTATAGGCTCTCAGGAGAATTTTAATGTACTTATGAATCTTAACACCTGGATGCTTGGTCTTTAGAAGGGCCTTAAATGTAGAGCAATACACTAAAAACAAAGGTCTCCATTAAATCACTATTTTCATAATATTTATATTTGAAGAGATCATCCAAGCCTCTCATTTTCCAGGTGAGGAAACTGAGGTTCAGAGAAGTCTAGTGACTTACTGTAAGTCAAGATATTAGAAAACTTTAACTTAAGATATGCATGTTTAATTTCAAGACTATCTGTTGTCTCATCGTAAATTAAAAGGAAAAAAAAATTTTGCGTTTTAGCTAATGTTTGGCATTAGCCTGTTATTAAACTTGACCCAAACCACATTGTTTTTCATTTTTTTGTAACATATTTGTTTACTTATTGTCTCTTCCATTAAATTGTGAGATCCTTTAAGGCAAGGACTCTCTTTTGCCTCTTTTTGTATCCTCAGTGTTTAGCACAGTGCCTGGCATAAACTAGGCACAAACACTTAGTAAGTGCTTACCAACCTACTGGAAAGAGCACGATATCTGGAGTCAGAGAACATGGGTATGAATCCTGGCTCTGTAGTCACACAGCTAGTAAGTGTTACGTGTCTGAGGCTGAATTTGAACTCAGGTCCTCCTGACTCCAAAGCCAGAGCTCTATCCCCTGCACCACCTAGCTGCCCCAAGATTATGTACTTCTAATCCTACATATACTCAACATAGTTTTGTGGTCACAGCCATCCTCCCCACTCCTTGAAACAGGTCATATATGACACTGATTACATAGCAGCTTGAGACTGTGGATAGATTAGTGTAAACTTATTACCAGTTTTGGGAAATAAGAACTCCAAAGTGTTGTATAATGCTCCAACATTTTGTCAGTAGCATTATCTTCATACATGAAGGTAAAAAACTTTTAAAAAAAATTTAGTGATGTACTAAATGATAACTTTTTAGTTTAGTAGATTTAAGTACTGGTCAGATTATAGTTGTAGATGTCTTCACAATTATTAGGTTGAATATGTTTTATGAATATTTTTATAGTGAAGAATATTGTATATATCAAATTTCATTAGTGAAAGTCCTCATAAAATATGGATTTCAGCCCCACTTTCTGCAAATGTCTCTTAATAATCAGTATTTAGTACAATAAAATCATTAATAGTCTCCTGAAATTAATTGTAGCAGGACTTGACCTGTAATTATTTCATCTTCAATAAAAAAATATTAGTTTTAAAATTCTAAGCTTCTACAAGATAGAGGTTTTACTGTTTAGCTTACTTTGTATATTATTTATTATAAATCTTAGCTTAAATATTTATTATAAATCTTATTATTATTATAAATCTTATTGTTGTTCAATAGAACTTAGGTGACAATGAAGGAAATGGAAATTTTGGGGATTTAATTTAAGGTCTCTGGCTGGCATACGTAGAAATGGCAAGCTTTAAGTGTCTTGTGTCTTGCCTGCCCATTTCTTTTCATTTTCTACTTGGATATCAGCCAAATTCTGAAGTAATGCATACTTTTGTTCAATTGTATTCATGTTGCTTCTGTCACCAGTGTTGATTTCTTAACTTTTAACATGTATGATTGTTTTCCATATGTTTTGATCAATTAGTAATACTAGATATAACATGCTTGATTTTTCACGTTTGCTAGTTAACTTGCAATAATTTCTTTGAATAGTATGAAGTACTGCTTTGTGTACAAGATCATGATGACCCAGCCATTGATGTATGTAAAAAGCTTCTTGGCAAATACCCAAATGTGGATGCTAGATTGTTTATAGGTAAGTAACAGTAGTTCTTTGATTCATTTGTATAACTGCTTTAATGTTCTTTGTACTGTAAAATACCTACAGTGTCTTATAGCCTTATGTGGTATGAATTGTATTTAGATTACAGATACCAATTTATTTAATCTCTGAAGGAGATTTGGAGTCTTGTTACTCCAAATCAAAACCTTTTGACGTTTTCCACCATTATGTTCCTTGTTAAAATACGCAGCCTCAGTTGTTGGAATTATAATGTGTGAACTTCTTAAAGAAACTTAAGCTATGAGAGTAAGATTATGTCACATGGGATGGTCTTGTCATTTAAAGAAAATCTTTGCCTATCATTTTTTAAATTTTTCTTTAGATATGAAAGGTTTTTTTTTTTAATCTTTTATCTCCCTGATTGACTTAGAATAACCAACAGTTAAATTGGGAGTCAAGTAGGGAAGAATACACTTTCATTCAGTGGAAGAAAGACAAGCTTCTGAGACCCAACTTTAGCCCCTAAATTCATAGCGATGATAGTTGGAATTGATACTTAATGTACTCAAGGAGCCATTCAAATTGAATCACATTTTAAAACACCTACTGTGTACATAGGGAGTAGTGTGATAAAAGCTATTATAGAGTTCAGTCTTTAGGGGACTAAGCCAAACAGATGAATATATTATAGAATAATCAGGAAGGCTTTATTTAATTTGATTTTTACTGGACACATAGGAATTCAGCTAACGAAAAGAGAACGGGTCAGTGAGTTTAGAACTGGAAACCTGATGCCACAAAATTCGCAAAAGTCAAAAGACATGAAATTTCTTCTTCCTATATCATTCGATTTTTTTTATCCTGAAAAAAATAAGATACATTTTTTTAAGTTTATACGTTTATTTTTAGTTTTCAACATTTACTTTTATATGATTTTGAGTTGTAAATTTTTCCTTCCTCTCTCCCTTTCCCCCACCCAAGACACAGCGTGCAGTCTGATATAGGCTATACATGTACAATCATATTAAACATTTCTACTTTAGTCATGATGTAAAAGAAGTATCAGAACAAAAGGGAAAAAACAAGAAAAAAAGTGAAAATAATATGCTTTCATCTGCATTCAGACTCCATAGTTCTTTCTCTGGATGTGGATAGCATTTTCCATCATAAGTCTTTTGGAATTGGCTTAGATCATTGCATTTCTGAGAAGAGCTAAGTCTATGAAAGTCGGTCATCACACAATATTGCTGTTACTGTGTGCAATGTTTTCCTGCTCTTTTCACTCAGCATCAGTTCATGCAAGTCTTTCCAGGTTTTTCTGAAATCTGCCTGCACACCATTTCTTATGGAACAATAGTATTACATTACATTCATATACCACAGCTTGTTCAGCCATTCCCCAATTGATGGGCATCCTCGATTCCCAATTCTTTGCCACCACAAAAAGAGATGCTATAAATATTTTTGTACATGTGGGTCCTTTTCTCATTTTTATGATCTCCTTGGGATATAGCCATAGAAGTGGTATTGCTGGGTCAAAGGGTATGCACATTTTTATAGCACTTTGGACATAGTAACAAATTACTCTCCAGAATGGTTAGATCAGTTCGCAACTCTACCAACAATGCATCAGCGTTCCAATTTTCCCACATCTTCTCCAGCATTTATCTTTTTCCTGTTCTGTTGTGTTAGCCAATCTGATAGGTATTGTGTGGTACCTCAGAGCTGTTTTAATTTGCTTTTCTCTGATCAATAGTGATTTAGAGTATTTTTCATATGACTATAGATAGCTTTAATTTCTTCATCTGAAAACTGCCTGTTCATATCCTTGGACCGTTTTTCAGTTGAGGAATGACTTCTATTCTTATAAATTCTGTTCTGTACATATTTTAGAAATGAAGACTTGATTAGAGAGACTGGCTGTAAAAATTGTTTCCCAGCTTTCTGCTTCGCTTCTAATTTTGGTTGCATTGGCTTTGTGCAAAAACTTTTTAATTTAATGTAATCAAAATTATACATTTTGCATCTCATAATGTTCTGTATCTCTTGTTTGCTCATAAATTCTTCCCTTCTCCATAAATTTGACAGGTAAAGTATTCCTTGCTCTCCTAATTTGCTTATAGTTTCAACCTTTTATGTCTCAATCACATAAGATAAAATTAACGTTAAGGATTTCAATGTTCACTTTTATTTTATAACTAAGTCACCTTTTAAATATATTTTGAAAAGTGTCATAGAGTTTTCTGTGGTATATGACATCATGTGATCTCTTTCATTTTTTATTTTTAAATTTTTAGGTGGCAAGAAGGTTGGGATTAATCCCAAAATTAATAATTTAATGCCAGGATATGAAGTTGCAAAATATGACCTCATATGGATTTGTGATAGTGGAATTAAAGGTAAGGTTTTTTCCCTTTGTCTAATAAATTTATTTTGTTTATGAACAAATTGAACTATAATTTATTGCAAGATCCTCTTTCTTGACTTGGAAAAGTTACTTTGTTGTTATGTGATGGCAAAGAGGTTCACCTTTAAAAAATATGTGTAAATTACATTGCAATTCTTTATCTTTAATATCTAATATCTTTAATAGCAGTATCTTTAATGCCACATGTTAGAGCTTGTCTTAACATGTTCTTAAGTACGAAAAGACTACTATGTAACCTAATAACTTTTACATGTGTAGATCTTCTTTGTGTTTCCCTCTGTTTATTCTTTCATTTTATTTTTTATTTAAAGAATAATTTGTGTACACAGAGATTAAAAACAATAGGTACATTTCTTACTGGAACTTTTTTGGGTGTGTATGTGTAGTGGTCTGGACCCCTAATTTCTGTACTATGAGAAGACTCTTACCAATGAAAATTGGGAAATATTTTGCAACTTAGATGTTGCACTTAGTTGTTAAGTGATTTGTCAAGAGTGACCCAGCCAGTATGTATCAATTGGAACCTCCTTACTCTCAGGCTATTTTTCTATCAAGTTGCCATGTTGAGTTTTTTTTTTTTATTGAAATATATATGTACACATATACATGTAAATGATTTAACCAAGTACCTGCTGATAATGTGAAATTTGAAACTTAATTATTGCATTGAAAGAGTCCATATATTACTTGGTCAAGGTACAGTGATTCAGCAGTAATTTAAAATTTTCCTAAATCCCATTTTTTTTCTCCATTTGCAAACAGGTTATAATGTATTTTGCATTGGCTTTGAAGGAAATATGTTATCTTCTCAATATCTCTGTCTTATGTTCAGTGTTCATTTTAAATTTAAAAATATAGGTGTGCTCCCATTTTACAGAAAATATCTGTCTTTCAAGTTGCCTATAAATTCACATTTAAAAATTCAGATCCTTTTGAATATGATTGGGAAGCTTGCTGTTTTCAGAAATGCTATTGTGAGGTTTTTTTAAATAGCGTAAAAGCTTTGTTTTCTAAGTTTTCACAGGCAACTTTTCTTAAAGTAGGGGCACAAATCTGCAAATTTTATCATCACTGCTTTAAATCACATCTAACAATAATTCTCAGTATAGTCTCCCACTTAGTGGCATTCATTAAATATATGTTGATGTGATCTCTGCTCCACTGTTACTACTAACTTTTAAATTGTAAATGTTTAGATTTGTTGTATGTCTTAATACTTTTTTTTTTGGAATTTGGCACATAGCCTAGAATTGTTATTTGATGGTTATATTTATATTTATTTAAATCCAAATGCAATTATATTTTATATTTATATTATGATTCACAAAGAAAATTTTAGTGTCTTTGGCATTTTAATTAAAGAAAACTAATCTCCCCATTTTTTTTCTAGTAATTCCAGACACATTAACCGACATGGTTAATCAAATGACAGAAAAAGTGGGCTTGGTTCATGGTCTACCCTATGTTGCAGACAGACAGGGTTTTGCTGCTACATTAGAACAGGTGAGTGTGGTATTTATGAATGCCATTATGTTGCCAGGTCTACAATTCTTTAAAATACTTTGGGGCTGTTCTGGGGGTATGAGTTAGAATTAGGGTGAGCCTAGGAAACCTGAATCTTTGATTTTGATATGTCTGGCAAATATCTTAACTTAAAGGACAGTTGATATAAAGCAGAATCATCCAGCTAGAGAAAGGATGAGCTGTTCCACCCTAGGAGTTAACTAGGATTTGCATTTGTTTCTAGGCTCCCTTGCTTCTTTCCTGGAACCCATTAGATAAGTGTTATGGATTGCCCCTTCTGACTATATAAAGATAACTCAGGCCTTGATACCTGGGAAGAGTCTCTAAAATCTGTCCTGTATTCCCTGGTTGATTTGGTGATTTCATAAACTGCCTGAGGGATTTGGAATGCAGCTTAGGATAAAACTAAAATTAAAAGGTTCACCTATGATTGCTGACAGTCCCAATCTCTTAGCAGACTGTTATTTTGATGAACTAAAGTTGTAAAATGAACTCTACCTCTCCAATTTTTTCTACTCACATCACATTTTTTTAAAAATTTCAAAACTTTGGTGAATCTTCATTCTTGTTGTCAGATAAATGCATTTCATTTCTTTTGCTCCTTGCTTGTTGGTTCCAGTATTAAGAATAAATAGAATGTTAGAAGGAAGTTTATAGGATGCAGCACATTCTTAGAAATACAGTCTTAAGAAAACATTGCTGTTTGACAAAGAAAAGCTTTCCATGCGTATATCCTTTGAGTTTTTTTCCAGTCAAACAACCCTTTCGTGGCTGTCCATTCTGTGTGACTCTTATCCGGATCTTCCCATGAGTTTGCCACAGCTCTGCCCAACGTGGTGGAAGACTGCGTTAATTTTTTCTGACATATATTAATAAATAGAAACTGTCAAATCCTTTTGAGTTGATAGGTAATATTTCAGCTAAGAAACTTAAATTTCAGTGTTAAATAGAAAGTAAATTTGGTTTGATAGTCTTCAAATTATAACTGTTCTTTTAAATGTAGCAGTTAAATTCCTCAGAATTATTTTAAATAACTGTTCTGAAGAGGATAAAAATACATTTTAAAAAATGGTTGAAACCTATGGCTTTATTTCATTAGTGTAGAAAATTTCCAGTGATAAAATTCTTTCTATAACACAGCCATAATTATTCTGCAATTTAGATCCTTAAAAGTGCCTGGGGGCACTAAGAGGTTGAGTGACTTGCCCAGGACTCATAGTCATAGGGCAGAGGCAGGACTTTACCTAGGTCTTCTGGATTCCAAGACTGGAGATGGAGATAGAAATTTTCTCTGTCATGTTTTAATTTTGACTTTGGAATATTTGGACCATGACACTTAGTATAGAATGGCAACATTTTTCCCCCCACGGCAAGAAATTATGCAGTAGCCATTTAAAAAGTATTATGGTTTTTGTTTAGTAAAATAGTCTTGAATAACTGTTGTAAAATTAGATACTTCATATATACCATACAAATTTTCCTATTTTTTGAAATTACAAAATGAATGTGCCTACCATGTGTTATTGTTATTCTAAGATAGACTTTTAAAATTTCTGTTGTTTCTAAGACTGTCAGTGCTTTCCATGTGATCTACAATGTTCCTAGTGAATATTGAGGTGATTGTTATCTGCCAGAGAGCCCTTTATGGGTCTTTGCTAAAACTTAGGCAGGCTTAGGGAATTACATTTTGTTATACTTGGTTCATAAACTACTCTTTGTAGCTGCTTGAGTTGTTTAATATATTGTCAAACCTGTTAGTTGAGTTCAGGTCGGACCTAAACCTTGGGATTCATTGTTTTATAAGGGGTAGGAAGGAGGTTTGAATTCATCCTGTTTCCATTTATAAAAATTCCAGAACTATGGGAGGATGTTTTCTTTTCTGAGAAAATCTGTTGTGTACTCATTTGAGTAAATAATGAAAAGTACATCATCTCAAAGGGGTTAAGAGTAAAAGGCTTTATATTTCATTTTCCCCTCTTGACACTCACTGAACAACCCATATGTTTTATGACCTACATAATACAGTTTTTGGAGATGGAGAGGAACCAATGTGGGTTGTAGAAACTCTGTGTCTCTTTTAAGTTTCATGTTGTATTTTTTGTATGAGAAAGATAAAGATAATTTTTTTTTTGGTGAGATATTGGGGTTAAGTGACTTGCCCAGAGTCACATAGCTAGTAAGTGTTTTGTGTCTGAGGCTGTATTTGAACTCAGGTCCTCCTGAACTGACACTGACTCCACGGCCAGTGCTTTATCCACTGTACCACCTAGCTGCCCTGATAAATTTTTTTAAAAAATAAAATTGATTGACAGGAGATTAGAGAAGAGAGAGAGTTCACCTTGGGGATTAGTGGGAGATAGGAAGTGTCTGAGTATGGCAGGATCTGAAACAAGGAAATGAGAGGATTGCCATTTGTGATGTGCACATCATGTATTACTTTTATCTTTTGTTCCCCCATGCGAATTTTGGAAAAACACAAAGCATTGAAAATGCCAGGTAGTATCCCATATGTAAATATGTGACTTAACCACTTTATTTTTATTTAAATTAAAAATTGAAGTACTGTATCAAGCTGAATATGGACCATCATCTCTCTATCCCTGATCTAGCCGATATAAAGCCTGTGTCATAGAAATCTCTGTGCAAAATTATGTAGGTAGTATGCACCCACCTTTTTTTCTTTCAAAGAGATCTTATTTTATGTGTGGGATCTATACTTGGTGAAAGCTAATTTTTATACTAATATGTAAAATTTAAAAATAACTTTTGTTGAGAAGAGGGCAAGATATATTCTTTATTTCCTTCCTACAAGCCTCTTGTAAAAGAAAACTATATAAGGGTGATCAGTCTATTAATTAGAGCAAGTATTTCTCAGCCAATGAGCAATTTTTATTAATATTTTATTGATAGCTTTAATTTTTACATTGCCTCAGTTTCCCCTGTATCATTTCCTTTTCCCCTTCCAGAGAATGAGTTCTTATAATAAATAATTTTTAAAAGGAAAAAGACAACAAAATTTAGCAAAACTGATCATCACATTGAAAAAATATCTGATGTTATATGCAGTTACCCACATCATGGACCCTGACCTCTGCAAAGAAGCCAGGGGTAGGTGTCTTCTCATAGCTCCTCTTTGGGGCCAAGCTTTCAAGAGCATTTATTAAGCAGCCACTGTGTTTCAGACAGTGTCAGGTGCTGAGGATACAAAGATAAAAATAAAACAGTTTATATCCTCAGGGAGCTAAGTACTATAGGAGAAGACTACATGTACACATGTCAATTTGTACAGAACAAGTAGATACAAAATATATGAGGTATTAGCTAGCATCTTAGAAGACTCAAATTAGAAGGTAGAATTTAATCTGAGCTATGAAGGAAACTAGGGATTCTAAGAGGTGGAATTGAGGAAGGATTGCATTCTACATATGAAGCATAAGCCTGTGCAGTGATGGAAACAGAATGTTGGATGTTTCCTTGTGTTTTAGTAACATCACTTTGGCAGTTGTGCGTAAGTTTAATTGGAGATGGGAGATACTTGAGGCAGGGAGATTAATTAGGAAGCTATTACAATAATTCAAGGAAGAAGTTATTTAGGCCTGAATGAAGGTGATGGCTATGTGAGTGGCAAATGGAAGTAGAACTTATTGATTGTGTTGAGTGAGGGAAAATGAGTAGCCAAGAGTGATTCAAGGTTGGGAACTTGCTGGATTGGAAGTATTATGGTATCCTCAACAGAAGTAGGGAAGTAGAGGGGTAGATTTCAGGTATGTTAACCTTGATAACCTTGTTAACACCCAGGACATCAAATTCATAAGTAATAACTAGTTGGGAATGTGTAACTAGAGCTCGGGAGAGAGACTAGGCAGGCCACAAAGATTTAGGAGTCATCGTTATAGGGATGATAATTGAACCGGATAAGATCATAGAGGGGGTATTCAGAGAGACCAAAAAAAGGGGTCTAGGATAGAGCATTAGGATGTACCCACTGTTCGAGGGGGTAGGATAGATTATAATGGATTATAATCCAGCTAAGGAGATAAGAGAAGTTTTGACTATATAGGTAGGAGGAGTATCATGAAAATCCAGAGAGAAAAAAGATGTCCAGGAGAAAGTTGGTCAGCTGTGTCAGATACTGCATAAAGATCAAGAAGGATAAAGATTGAGTAAATGTTTAAATGCCCATGTGTTCCATTCTGAGTCTAAATATTTGCCTGCAAAAAATGATAGGATGTATGTTTAAAGATAATTTATTTGGAAAAGTGTTTACACTTCCTGTTTCAGTACCATAAAACATTAATTTTGATTTCTATTTTGGCAGGTATATTTTGGAACTTCACATCCAAGGTCCTATATCTCAGCTAATGTTACTGGGTTCAAATGTGTGACAGGAATGTCATGTTTGATGAGGAAGGATGTATTAGATCAAGCAGGAGGGCTTATAGCTTTTGCCCAATACATTGCTGAAGATTACTTTATGGCTAAAGCAATAGCTGACCGGTAAGATAACCAATTTAAATCAGGATGTTTTTAGGAGCAGCACAATGTAATATGTGTATGTGAAGTTCAAGAGTAATTTTTAAAAAAGATTATAAATGAGTACATAAATTTTTTCCCACTAGAATCTTACTCGGATGCTTCATTGTTGCATAGATGTATTCCTGGATTCTTAAAGGCTGTTCCAGTAGGACACAAACTTTGGCAAGGCCTAGCAAAGCTAGAAAAGCTTTGAGAAAAGTTCCAGTGAGGGACTTTGTGCTTATTGTCCAAGGACTAGCCTAGTTTAATTTAGTGAGACTTCTCAGCAAAAGGTTGGCCACCAGGGCCTGAACTGCATTTGTGGCTGTTCATGTTGGGGAGATGTATTAGTAGAAAGAATGCCATGCTAACAAAATCAGGGATCTTTCAAAGTGTTGAAGTGAATAAATAAACAGGTCTTCTAAAAAACCTTTTTTTTGCCTTAGATTAGGGAACCACAGGAGATGGCTTTTCATTTTTTTTTTAAATGGGAAACAATTTTAAATGTTAAATTAATTTGTCTGCTATAGAAGTTGAGCTTCTGGGTTCTTTTTTTAATCAAGCCCTAGAATATGCTACTCCTTTCATGGCAAGTCTTAAGTCTAAGTCTCATGGCAAGACTTAAAAGTTGTAAAACAGTTTTATAACTATGCACAAAAAGCAGTCTTATTGCCATATACATGACTTAAGCTATTTTTTGTGTTACATCATTTATGTTACGTGTACTCTCTCCTACTTCATTATCTTCTTTAAGAAAAAGCATAGGTTCAGTTACTAGTGTATTTGAAAGAATATTTGTGATATTAACTGTAACTTTTGTTTTTACTGGTGAACATACATGGCTTTATGAAACAATTAAAAAGCAAAATATATTTATGATTCATAACTATATCCTAATGAAGGAAATAAATGCCTTGATGCTTCAGTTTTTTTTTTCAAATTTAATGATGTGATTTGAAGTCATTAAAAGGGAGTGTGTATGTGATGTTAATGATATTTTTCATTGGAAGAGGTGTGAATTTCTGTATTTGGAAAAAGCACAGCGTTTCGTTGTGATTCAAGATAGCCTTAATGTTTTGACCTTTTAGAATTTAGATGAAAATGCATAGAGTGTCATTTCAGAATTGGTCCATAGTTGCTTTTATTTTTTAAAAGTTAGATGAAGATTTTATATAGCTGACCTCAAATTTTTATGCTATAAGGTATTGTTTATTAATAGCATATCATTGTCAGATTTGCAAAATACTTTACAAATATCTCATTTTTTCTCACCACAGTTCTGGGGCTGAGGCAGGGGGACATGCTATTATTATGATACCCATTTTACAGATAAAGAAAACAAACAAGTTGCCTAGGGCAACACAGCTAGTAATTGTCTTAGGCCAAATTTGAACTTAGGTCTTCTTCTCTTCAGGTGTAGTATTCTATCCACTGTGCCATCTAGCTGCCTCTGACTTTACTAGAGAAATTAATGTGTTGTCTTTTTCTTCACACCCAGTGCCAAAAGTATATTGGAAACAAAAAAATCCCCAAATCTCTACGTATAATATTCATAAGCTAAAGTGTTGACTTAGTTTCAATTTCTAGTTAAACAGCACAGTGGAAAGAGCACTGCATTTGGAATCAGAAAACTTGGGTTTGAATCCCAGATCTACCACTTTCCTAGTCATGTGAGTATAGGCAAATCTAATTGCCCTTATGGCCTTAATTTCTTCATCTGTAAAATTGAGGGGAATTGGATCAGGCGATTTCTGAGGTCTCATCTAGCTTTATGTCCTACAAGTCCAGATTATCATCGTGTGGTTGTGTGTGTGTATGTGTGTGTGTGTGTGTGTGTGTGTGTGTGTGTGTGTGTGTGTGTAGCTTACATAACTAGTTTATATGTCACATGCTAAATTAAGTACAGATAACAGAAAAATTGTTTAAAACAATTTATAGATATGCTATGTCTCAATTAGGTTATTCTTTCTGGTTTGCTAGTCTTATCTTCTTCAATATCAGTTTTACAAAAGATTTCCAAACTACAACTGATATCAAATTGTTGTGGATAAATATATAGCCAATTATATTTTAATACAGGGAGCTATAAGCTCCCTATATTATAATCTACATCTCACTTATAAGCTATATCTCATTTAATAATTATATTAATTTCCAGAGGCTGGAGGTTTGCAATGGCCACTCAAGTTGCAATGCAAAATTCTGGTTCCTATTCAATTTCTCAGTTTCAGTCCAGAATGATCAGGTAAATAAAACTACCTTGTTCCTTCTGTGCTTATTTTTCTATACTGTGATTTAGTGAATTAAATTTAGCCAAATGTATTGTTTAGTGTCTGTTGAGAGGGATGGAGATATATATATTTCACTTAAAAAAGCTTTATTTAGATTTTATAATTTGTATTATTTGTCAGAATGTGGACCATTACAATTAATCTAGTCTTTTTGCGTTCAGTTTTTTTTCGCTATATAATACAAGAGAAAAATCTTGAAATTTTAGAAGGAGTAGTCTTCCAAAAAATAGTATGACCAGAAATTAAACTGATTTGTCTTGAATCTGAGCTGTTGTTTATTTTTTAAAGAAATCTTTTTCTTTTAGGTGGACCAAACTACGAATCAATATGCTGCCTGCAACAATAATTTGTGAACCAATTTCTGAATGCTTTGTTGCCAGTTTAATTATTGGATGGGCAGCTCACCATGTATTTCGATGGGATATCATGGTATTTTTCATGTGTCATTGCCTGGCCTGGTTTATATTTGACTATATTCAACTCAGGGGTGTCCAGGTATGTGGGTAAGCATGTAAAGCTTGGCAGTTGGTTAACCAAAACAATTTTTTTTAAGCTTAAGGAGTTGAACAAATTCTCTACCCTTTAGTCAGAAGTGCTCATCAATTTTCTGTTGAGTCTTGGCATTAATTTTGAATAATATTTTCTGTTAGTGGGGTGTTGAATTTAGAATTATTTCAATTCCTTGTAAATGAAACATGGGCTGTGGGAAATACATTGTAGTATGTCCTTACTATTTGATAGACAGAAGAACCAATGACAGTTGCTTCAATATTCCATGATTTTCTTTTGTAGTTAATTTTTTTTAATTTTAGAAGCCATTACTAGATATGAGAAATTTATATTTAAAAATTTTAATTACGTAAGGAATTAAATTACACCTTAAAGTACACTTGCAGTGATAAAAGCAGAGATTTGTTTCTAAAATAATTTTTGATATGTAATGCAATAAAGAAAGAAAATATTAAATGTTAATTTTTGTAATTCCTAGGGTGGCGCTCTATGTTTTTCAAAACTTGATTATGCAGTAGCTTGGTTCATCCGAGAATCCATGACAATATACATTTTCCTATCAGCATTGTGGGACCCTACTATAAGCTGGAGAACAGGACGCTACAGATTACGCTGTGGCGGCACAGCAGAAGAAATCCTTGACGTATAACCACAGCTTTGTGACTGTATTTAAGAAAATAAAAAGAAAAAAGAGAAAGAAGTATTATAAATTATGTTTATATAAATGCTTTAAAAATCTACCTTCAATAGTTTTATTACTTGTATGTTTTGGTATCTGTTCTTTAATTTATTTTGCATGGCACTTGCATCTGTGAAAAAGAAAAAAAAATACACGTGTCATCTTGGCCAGCTGGTACCTTGTTTTATACAAAAGAGAATCAAGAGAATTGGTTCTAGGACCCTTAAAAAAAGAAAAGGACATATGATTGCTCTGCAGCAAACACTATGATAGTATCCTTCAGTAAAGAAAATTTCAGATTTGGCAGTAGGCTAGTCTAGTAAATTTATGGGATGAAATTATCTTTGGCCCATTGGCTGGCAAGGACTAAATAGTAATTTTTTGCCTATATGGAGTGTCTAATATCATTGTGCTGACTGTGGGGGGACTAGTGGAGAAACTTTTTCATGCTTTATGACTACCTCTTGTAGTTGCTGCAGAGCAAATATAAATTGTATTAGGTAACTAGGCCTTGCAAAAAACAAACCAGAAAAAAAAAACCTTTAAAAGAAGAGCTGGAGTCTTGTATTTATATGTATATATGAGAGAGGTTTGTTTTGGGGGGGTTTTTTGTTTGTTTTTGTTTTTTTCTTTTTGTTTGTTTGTTTTTTGGTGTCAACTGCAATGAACCAAAAGTGGAAGTTTGGTTTTTAATGGTAGCCATGTATTGAAGGCATCTTTTTGGCCAACTCTTGTTGGTTCTGTCTTGAACCATTGTTAATCACTGTGCTGTAATTAGTGTAGCTTAAACCCTTCCTTCCCAGCACCCCTAATCCTTATTCTACTTTTCCTTAACTTTTTTCAGGGGGGTTGGTTTTGTTTTAGTGTGAGTGAATGTTTTGATAGTTGTGAGGAAAAAAAATGCATTTCAGAAACATTTCACACATGACCTATTTTCTTACACAGTATGTCTTATTGTTAATAAGAATGCAATTTCATGATGCAGGTATTTGATATCTTTTTTTAAGTGAGCAAATATTCTAGCCATCAATAAATTAAAACTGCAGTAGAGTATTAAGAAGGGCAGGATGAGTTTATTGTTAAATTTAATCAGTATCAAACTAAGTCTACTGTTAGCTTTTCTTTTGTGCCTATTACAGTTAGTCTAGTCTTATTTAAATTGAATTTTTGTATAACTAAATAGACTAGATTAATGTAAGTTGTAAATGCATGCTGTACTTCACCCTTCCTTTCCCATTACACCCTTAAACTTGCCTTTGACTCTTGTCAGGCTGTTGTTAACTTGTGGTGAACTGGACTTTTTTTTTAATTGGCAAAATTTAAGGGACGGTGCATAAGCCTTTTGTTTTTATAATGATATTTGTGCTTTTTTTTCTTCACAATTAGATGGCTTGTCACAATGAATGTCTACTGGCTAATTGCAGGGCTAGCAATGACAATATGGCAGCTTTAATTTCCAAGTTATTACAGTTTCTTTGTCAAGGTGTAATGTGTAGCATATTAGCAATAACTACATGTATTTATAGAAAATGGATATTTTTTTCACCTCACTGAGCCAATCCATTTAATTGTCTAATGATGAATATACACACAGTTTAAAATGTACTATTTGTGTGTGTATCTTATGTATAAACTATATATAAGCATTTCTCTGGGCCAAATTGCTTCACTTTGTTTAATATTCTATTGCCTTATGATATCACTGAATTTGTTTGAAGGGCATTTTCTACGTGAACAAAGGCTTTGATGCATGTTCCATTTCTTATGTGAATCAGGCAGTGATGTTTCCTGAGGAGAGCTGTACAATGAAAACCAGTCTAGTTGTGACCCACCAAGTGTTTCTTTTTTCATCACTATTACACAGCTTAATTTTGCTGACTGTGTTTGTATTTGGTTTGTGTTTAATGAAGTTTGGTTGATGCCATTCATTGCACTGCTAAAGTGAAGCCTTGCTTAAATTTAGCTTTCTGCTGATTTCAGTGTGGGCAATGTAACAAAACCAAAAAAGGCTGAACAGACTTCGTTTGTTTTGTAGATATGGAAAATTATTCTTCTGTATGTATGCTTTTTGCAGTAGTGAAGTCTAGCTCACAAAAGTGAAGCTTCACTTAAACAGACAGGTTGATTCTTTGGTTAGGAAGTATGGGTTGATTATGAAATGGAAAGAATTAAAACAAGTGCTGTAGAGAGCATCACAACAGAACTGCAGGAGTCCAAATTTAATAAGCTATCTTTAAAGATACCAACAAATGTCTAGAATAGACTTTACCATGTTTTATTATTTAAAATCATTGTCTTGAGTTTTTTGTTGAAAAAAAATAAAAATTTTAATACAATCAAAACTTTTCTCTAAGACTTTTTTAAAAATTATTGTCTGTCTTTGTTTCTTTTCATTTTACATAGAGTTTAGTATGAAATCTAATATGTTAGTCTACAGAAATCTTGTTAGGGCAGCTAGATGGCTCAATGGATAGAACCTGGTGTCAGAAAGACCTGAGTTCAAGTGTGGCCGCAGACATTTACTAGCTGTGTGTAATTTTGTGTGATGTGTGTCATCAACCTTTGTGTGTCTCAGTTTTCTCATCTATAAAATGAGGATATGTTATGCTGTTACCCCCTCAGACTATTTTGAGGATAAAAGGAGATGTGTATCCCCAGTGCTTAGCACAGTGCCTGGCACATGGTAGGTACTTAAAAATTAGTTGACTTTTGTAAATTTTGAAACACTGTTAGCTCTTATTATAATTTATTAGTTATTATATATTAGAAATCAGAACATAATAATGAATTGAGCTTCAAAGCCTAAATTTTAAAGAGCTTATAAATTTAGTTTAAGGGAGTTATATATATATGTACATATATACATACATATGTACATGCACATATGTATAGCACAGAGACACTCAATGTGATAAATTTCTATGACTTTCCTCTTCTTTATTTACCTCCTAAATCTTACTTCCTTACCACACATGCAGTTTCATGTTAGTAAAACTTGTATTTAATATTTATTAAGAGTCTGCATGCATTTGGCACTAAAGAAAGCCCAAAATAATTTTGTTCAAAGATGGTTAGAACTGGAAGGGAGCTGAGAGATCATCTGACTTAAATAGAAAAAGTCAATTTCTAGATTGGTTTAAGAATTAGATTAAAACCAGAGGCTGTAAATTATACTAATTTTAAATGTTAGAGTTCTATTGATAGAGAAAAGTTGTACTTCTTACAGTAATATATCAGAGTAGTGATAATACTTTTACTCTTTAGTTAAATTAATTTACTGATGTTCAGTACTTCAGTCACACTGTGGTCTCTTTGATGTGGATACTACCTCCAGCAGCGCAGATTTCAACCCACTGAGGCTTTCTTACCTTATGGGACTAATCTATATTCTCCTATAGATTCCCCTCCATTAGGGAACCACCTAGGGTGCTAAGGCTCTTTCTATAGATCTTTTTTTTTATGGCACTAAAGTAGGTACCACTATAGAATTGGCCTGCTGATACCTCACTACATAACCATCCCACCTCCTTTTCCTAGGTATATATATCTCATGGATAACATATGCCGCTAGGGTCAGAATTAGTAACACGTTTCCATTTAAACACCATTTGTCCTCTTCATTATCTTTTCAGTCATTCACAATTTTGATTGTTTTAGAAATTGTGTTGTATGATTTACAACTAACATTACCAGAAGAATATTGGTATTAAAAAGATTGGGTTTTGTTTCTAGGAGTAGCTTGGAATCCTTGAAAACATTTCATATTTTCTCAACTGTAATCCATGTCATGGAGCAGCTAAATGGTACAGTGGATAGAATCCTGGGCCTGGAGTCAGACACTTAGTAACTGTGTGACCCTGGGCAAGTCCCTTAACCCTGTTTGCCTCAGTTAAAATAAAAATGAGCTGGAGAAGGAAATGACAAACCACTACAATATCTTTGCCAAGAAAACCTCAATTGGGGTCATGAAGAGTTGGGAACAACTGATGTGACTAAACAACAAAAGTCCATGCCACACTTTTTGAGTATAGGTTGGGCTAGGTCGAGGACCTTTTTTATATCATGGGTTTCTTTGCAATCTGAAGTTTATGGACCCTGCCTCAAAACAATGTTTTTAAATGCATAAAATTTTTTAAATGGGATTACAAAGGAAACCAATTATATTGAAATAGTAATTATAAAAGTATTGAAGGTACCAAATTATCAAACCCCCTGAAATCTTTCCATGGACCCCAGGGTAATAGCCCTCTGGACTATATAGTTGTTAAGGTCCCCTCCAACTATCAAATTTTGTCATTTTCTTTCTTTTTAATTCTGAGGCGCAGAATATTATCTACCTGCAGTGTCTATCCAATTTATATGTACTGGTAGACAAGTTCAATTGACTGTCTAACACTACTACATATTATAGTCTGGACAATAGCTGTTCTTTATCTTTTTTTTTCCCCCTGTGTGGATCATTTGGCTAAGCTCTTGAGTGCTTGTGTATGTCATTAAGGAGAGGGTAATGTTTTGGGGCTTGATGCAATCAACACAAGATCATCAGCAAAGGAACATCTGGAGCACCTTATTTAAAAGGAATCCCTTTTTTCCATTTTGACTGCACTGGACATCATGATTGTGAAAACACATTTGGTGAGCACACTTTTTCTTGTTTTATAACTTGTTTTATGCTGATAAAGCATCACACAAAGTTTATCTCTGTTAATCCATCTTTCAGAGAATCTTATATAATCTTAACATATATACAGGCTATATTTTGCTCTGCTAAATCAGATGCCCTTTAAAAAATTATAAATGAAATCTTGTATTCATAGTACTTTCTAGTCGTTTCTGTGAATGAATATGTAGTTTGCTATAGAAAATGATTTGTGAAGGCCTGCCTGTTTCTCATTTTCATCAAGGAGACTTTCAAGATATGTGTATCTCATACTATCTGAAATAGGGAAAGGCAAGTCACTGGGAAATGTAGGTAATTAAAAACAAAAAATCAATAAATTTATTTTAAAGAAGAAAAGTTAATTCTACTAGTGCACTAATAAATTAGGGAAATGTTAAAACTGGAATGTAGTTTGTCTTTCTTTTAATCTTTAATTATTTGTATACTTGACATTTATTTTAATCTGCTAGTCTCCAGATAGTGTCCCCATGATTTTGGTAAAGTATAGATGTGACCATATCACCCTTCCTGCTCAACTGAGCTTCAGTGTCTCCTTTATACTTCCAGGATCAAATATAAACTCCTGGGCATTTATTTGATAACTAGGCTATGTGTTGTCACCTTCATTAGAATGTAAGCTCTTTTAGTGCCTTTCTTTATAACCCTAAGCACTTAGCACAGTGCCTGGCACATAGTAAGCACTTAATAAATGTTTATTGAGTCACTGCATCTCCATCACTCTCTCAAAAACTCATCATATTTATAGTTATTACATCAGGGTGAACTTTTTAAAATTTCATTGCTTTTTCCTTTATATTCAACCCTTTCAACGCTGTCCCCCCCCCTTTATAGTCCTTCCTCAGTATATACCCCTCTTTCTTCTTTTGTTCTTAGGTAGAAGTAGAAACAAACTCGAGACTGCCTATTGCCGGCCCCAAGTTTCCCCTGCCTGAATGAAGTAAATAAGGGTTCTGGGAAAAAGGAACTCCAGCCATAGATCCCAAGCTGTAAGCAAAAAAGAAATAAACAATGGATGGTGAGAAGCACCCCTGTGACCATAGCAGAATTGGAAGGTGTTTGAGCTAATATCAGATTCTTTTCCCTTCAATTTCAGTAGGGCAATTTGGGAATATAACTGTAGGTATTCATGTGAATAATCTTAATGTAAGAGCCAAATCTTCTCATACAGCCACCACCCTAGTTCTCATCTTCTCCTCTTAATCTGGATTGTGGCAGTATCCTCAGGTATTTGCCTTTTCTATTGCCTACCCAGCTGATAAATTGATGCCCCTAAATCACAGATATGACATCACTTCTCTTCTCAAAAAAGCTTAATATTTCCTTTAGAATAAGATAAAAATTTCTCTCATGGTTAATGCCCTTCATGATCTGACTCCAGCCTGTCTTTCCACAATGATATCATGTATTCTATATATATTCTGTGACCTACCTATCTGATCCCCATACATCCCATTTATTCATTTACATGCCTTTGCAAAGGCTGTTCCCCCATGGCTGGGATGTCCTTTCTCTTTACCTCTATTGCTGGGAAGCCCTAGCTCTACTCAAGGCTCAGCTCAAATGCTACCTCTTTCTTTTTTCACAATTAGTCATGTTGCAAAGAAGAATTTGAACTAATAAGAGGAACCACAAGAAAGAGAAACAAAATAAAACAGAAGGGAAAAAAAAGAGCAAATAGTGTGCTTCGATCTGCATTCAAACTCCATAGTTCTTTCTCTTGGTGTTGATAGCATTTTTCCATCATCAGACTTTTGGAGATGTCTTAGATCTTTGCACTGCTGAGAAGAGCTAAGTCTAATAAAGTTAATCATTACACAAAGTGGCTGTTACTGTGTACAACGTTCTCCTGGTTCTGCTCACTTCACTCAGCATCAGTCCATACAAGTCTTTCTAGGTTTTTCTGAAGTCCACCTGCTCATCATTTCTTATAACACAATAATATTGTTACATTCATGTACTACAACTTGTTCAGCCATTCCCCAATTGATGGGCAACCCCTTAATTTCCAATTCTTTGCCACCACAGAAAGAAGTGCTACCTCTTTTACAAAGCCTTTCCTCATCATGAATTTGGACAGACTTCAAGAGATAAATAGAGGATAGAAGGGCTTGGTGTGCTATTGTCGATGGGGTCACAAAGAGTCATACACAATGAAATAACAATCATTAGCACCACCACATGCCCCTGCCAAAAGTACTTTTTATTTATATGTATGGATATATGGATATACAGATACGCATACACACACACACACACACACACAGAGATGTGCATATATCTAAATTACTATTTAGTATTATGCATATCAATATCTATAAAATATATATATATGTATAACATTTGAGTGTGTTTACCCCCAGTAGAGCGTTAGTTACTTGGAAGCAGTGACTGTTTTAATTTTTAGTTTTGTGTGCTTAGGCCAGTGCTTCAAATTTAGTAGGTGCTTTAACAAATGCTTTTTTAATTGAATGAAATTAAATGAGGTTATTTCATTCAAAAAATGAATTTTGTTATAGAGAAATAATTTTATTTTAAAATCTTAAAATTTAAATGTGTTTTTAAAAAATGAACAAGTGATATTTGAATTTGTAACTCCAAGCCCTTTAAAGGAAGCAATTTTTCTAAAGGGAAGTATGTGGTCCTCTTAGTTGCTAAGAGCTC